GTGGGATGGAGCCCCACATCGGGCTCCCTGCTCAGTGGGGAGTCTGCTTCTCCCTCTCCTTCTGGCCCTCCCCACCCCCCACACTCCTGTGTATGTGCGCACATGCGCTCTTGCTCTCAAATAAATACATAAAATCTTTTTTTAAAAAAAAAGAAGTTAAAGTTTATGTTTATCTTATTCATCATTTATCCTTCCAGGCTTTAGCATAGTGCCTGGCATGATAAATACTTTTTTGTTTCAGAAATGAACATTTATTGATATAGAAAATCTGATTGTTGTGGGCTCTCAGAATTCTAGATGGGAAATCTGTGCAAGTCTCCAGAGATCTGGCTCTCCCTGAACTCATGTAAGGCAGTTGCTTCTCACCTTCCTTATCTAAAACCAATCTGAGCATTTTCCCCCTTCCCCTTCCTCACGTCCCCATTTTTGTATTGATATGATTTTTTCTTAGAAGCCATGATGAAAACCTCATAGCCACATCTGGCCTCTCTCTCACTGCACAGTGTGGCAAATCAATAAAACCTTTTAGGAAATTTTCTTTACAAATGCTTCTTACATTCAAAATGTAATTTTCCTTAGTCTTTCTCCCACTAAATATTTACTTGTTGGTTGACTTGTTTTTACCCCTTTTATTTTTATCCTGGCATTTCCTGCTCAAAAACTATGAGTACCTCTCCACAATTTATAAGAAAAATACACCCTTCTCTGGACACGGGGTCCTCCAGAGTCTGTCTCCAGGGTACATTCCTGGTTTAGCTCCATAGGTCTGAAACACAATCCTTTCTCACTGTCTGTGCCTACTCCTTCCTACAGGTAGGAACTCAGGCTGGAGCCCGCACCCTTCTGCTCCAGCTGCTCCTGGTTACTCCAAGCCTCCCTATGAGGGGCACTATGGTAGGAGGGGTAAACTTTGGGGAGTCCGGTCTCAGTTCACCATCCTAGCTCTGCTCACTTGACATTTAACCTTATCCCTTCTAATGTGAGTTACATTTTCAAGTTCTATAGGTCATCCTGTGCAATCAGATTTTTACGGGGTTTGACTTCTTTTGTCTTATAGCTTTATCTTGCAACTTGGATGATGGTTGCTATAAAATGCAAGATGATATTTTAGAAAAGAAAATATTATTAATACTATGTCAGTGGCAAACCACAGAAGTACACAATCCTCTGATTCACATTCTGTCACACCCCTTGCAAACTTAGAGTGAAGATCAGTTCCAGTTTTGTGTCCCATGCTGTCCTCCTTTGGAGCTAGGGAGGACAGCTGTGTGAACCTCCAGGACAGCCCCCCCCTCACAGTCAGCAGGGCTACCCTTCACTGGCTTGGGATCCTCCTGGGGAAACTTCTTTGGGTAAAGTCGCATCTGTGGGACGACCCTTGTGCTATAGTCAGCTAGTATGTTTATCCATGGGGTGACGGCTCTGCCCCTCTGTCATGTCCTGTTCACAGAGCTACTGATCTCAGGTCCAATGGCTTTGACTGTCTCCAAAAGCACTAGCATTCACAGAGAAGTCTGTGAGGTGCCAATATGGCTGCTCCTTGGGCAGAGTGTGTGGTTTACCTCATAACCCATCAGAATGAAGGGTCTCCTTGGAGTCTTCCACCCATCTGCCCCTCGGCCACTTCCGCTGTGCAGAGGCTCGGTGGGCCTTTTGCTGGGGAGCTGCTCCCTCTTCCGTGATGAGGACAGTGTCATCTCCAGGAAGGGACAGCTGTCACTACAGCCCTGGGGACTGTCTCATCTCCCTACAACAATAAGGATTAGCAACCCTTCCCTCAGGGACTGGCAGTTCGTTCCTGGTGAAAAGATACTACAACAATGCCCAGTGTACGAACATTGGACTGGATGCCGACTCAGCAAAATATCTAATTGTATTCATGATGAGTGAATACTCTGATTCCCAGAGGAAGGTTAATTGTAAGTCACTATGTCTTGGATTTTTGCATTTTATGGGAACTGTCAGAAGGATGCTAATTTTTATTTTTGCCAAATAAGGGCATTAATAAAAATCTATCTTGTATTCTGTCATAAAAAGAAAAAAATCTCTAATTGCTGCATAAAAAGATATAATTAAATTGAATATATGTAGCTTTGTGATCCTTATTTTTCTCAGTTCAGTGAGGCTGGGTGAAAACTGGTCCAGGAACCGGCTCTGGGTTACTGGTCCTGAGTTTGGGAACCACTATTCTGTTAAATTTGTTCATTTAATTGAGGCACCCTTGAAGGTCCTGTTTCAATTAAACAGCTATGGTCCCCTCCCTACGCCTCCTCCCTCTACCTATATATATTTTTACAATACGTTTGAACAATTATTTGGTGTCCTGTATTGTCCTCTGATGGTTTCATATGTAGCTATTTTGTCTCTTGCAATCAGACTGTAATGCTAGGTAAACAGAAGGTACTAATTATTTGCATTTGTTTCTATAATACATACATTGGTGCACTGTTTAGAGGACTGCAAGCTATTCACACAATTGTGTGTGTGTGTGTGTGTGTGTTTGGAAGTCAGCTGGAATCCTCAGTTTACATAGGTACACACATAAAAGGTGCATGTTTTTAAAAAATTAAATGAGCTTTGTAAAATAAGAAAACACACCTTTGGAGTTAAAATCTCCATCTTCTACATTTCCCAGTGAGGCTGGAGAGATTGCCTACCCATTGAACAGACATGGCCCTGCATCTGAAGCACCTTTAAAGTCTCTCATCATTTTTGATGATTTATTAATGACATAGGGGGTAGCAAGCAGGTAGTTGAGTCTCTCCCACAAAAATCAGAATTGGTTTTTTTATTTAAAATATCATAAAACATTCCTTAGACTGACATTGGAGCTTCAATATTTATGACTTTCTGATTGCTCTAGCAGTTTAGAAAAAAAAAAAAAACTAAAAACGAGCCCTCAAGTAAAATTTAAGTAGAAAAGATTAAAATTCAGGGGTGCCTGGGTGGCTCAGTCGTTAAGCGTCTGCCTTTGGCTCAGGTCATGGTCCCAGGGTCCTGGGATCGAGCCCCGCATCGGGCTCCCTGCTCAGCGGGAAGCCTGCTTCTCCCTCTCCCACTCCCTCTGCTTGTGTTCTCTCTCTCACTGTGTCTCTCTGTGTCAAATAAATAAATAAAATCTTAAAAAAAAGATTAAAATTTAGAATTTTGGATTTTTTTTCATTTGAATGAACACTCACTTATTTGCTGGGAATTTTATGTGCCAGCCCTAGTTTTCCTATATTTGACATTCCATGAAAAAGTACTTAATTTCTTTCTTGAAAATATATGAACAGTTTTATTTTTTGAAAATATACCCTCTGGACCAGCACAACTTTTCCCTCCAGTTTGTACACACTAATTTTGACTACAAACCAAGCACACATTCCAACCATCTGGCAAATGAATGATGCAGAGTGGGGCACAAAACTGGACCTTTCAGTAAATTCTTGTTGTTTTCCTGAATGAGCTTGGGGATTCATATGTGTTAAGTCTTATGACAAAATTGAATTGTATGTCCTTGTCCAAGATGCAGCTCTTTAATTGCTTTATGATTTTGTGATTTTTTTTTCAAAGAGCATATTTTTGCAGCTACTCAATGGAGTACGCTATTAATCTTTTGAAGAGGGCATAATAATATGATTATTTCCCTTCAAGGTGTATGTGAGGTAACTTCATGACTATTAACTCAAACTGTTATAAAAAAGATTATGGATGTGGCTTAAGGAAATGGACAGTGTTGACAATCTCAGAAAGGGAGTAAGAAATAATCCTCTTTCCCCCAAAAGACTCACTAGAAATGAAAATTTTTGTATACTTCACCGAAATGTTTAAGTTTTAGTGAGACAAACCTGTAGCATTTTCTAGTCTTAGTTTTTCCTGGTTAATTAATCCTTTCAACGAATATTTGTCGAGTGCCTATCAAGCCTTGTTCTAGGTGTTGGGAATGTAGTAGCAAATAAAACAGAGAAAACACTATGCCTTTGTGGGATTAATATTCTAATGAAATCCGATGAACTAGTTTATATTTTAAAGAAGCTTGTGAGCTTATTGAGCTTTCTCTAAAAGACTCAAATAGTTCTATATCGCAGCCATACTAGTAAAAGAATGAAAATGAATAATTCACGATTAGATTCCTAGGAGAACACTGTGTGAAGCAATGTGGCAAAACCACCTTTTTTTTTCCCCCTAAATTTTGCAACTCTGCGGTGGCAGGTACATACTGTGGTGAATACAACTAACCTAGCTCTAGAGACAGTCACACGGAAAACAGAAATTGTCAGGATTATTTCATGAAGGTATCGTGACTTTCTCCCAAATATGTATGAGAACATTCTAAAACGCGGAAGAAAAAAGCATCCTTTCATTTAGCCTATGAAAAAGGTTTTATTCGAAACAGTATCTGAAAAAACATCTTGCAACTGGCCAAATTTGGGATTTTGGCGATAGGATAAAATTTTAGAACGAGCTGGCCCTAGTTGCAAATGAGAAGGCAGAGTTTGGGCAACCACTTCTCCCTGTCTTGTTTCTCCATCTGACTTTTTATGGATCCTGTTACACTCCATGAAGGGGAGCAGGGGGAGTCGTGGACATCCGTTCTGAAGATCTGGGCTTAAACCCCTCCTCTGCTATTTATCATTCATTTGCGCATGAACAAGCCACCTTGGCAAGCCCCGGTTTTCATCTACAAAATAAGGCTAAGACTATCAATCTCAGAAAGAAGAGGTAAAGATTAAATATAATGTATGTGAAAGTGCTTTGAAACAATTAAAAACAAGAATTAGTATTAATAGTTAATACTTCCTTAAGGAATGGAAATAAAACTCTGAGGAACACAGAAATGGTTTATATACTAAAGCCTGTCAAATGGAATGGCAAGTGGTGGAGTTTTTATTTTAGTCATTTGTTTCTATCAGACAGTGCCTGTCCGTCTGGGTCACAAATTATATCATGTATGAGGCTGCTCAGTCTGCCTACAGGAAGCCATATCAAGCCCAACTTATTCTGACCCCGTTACTCACTCTTGCCAGGCTGGTCCCAGATGGAACTTTATAAGGGACGTACTTCCTGTAGATATGACCAACTCTAGAACATGGGACATCAAACATTTCTCCTCCACACATCCAAACCTAAAGAGAGGAAATTTAAAAGTATAACGAAAAAGAACAGTACACCACAGATAAAAAGAGGAATCATTAGTAAGAATCATAAAAAAAAATCTTAGAATCACTCGGTCTCTAAATTAATAATTTCTATTTATCATAAAAGGTTAACCAAGAAAAAAAACCCTCACATTTTTCAAAACCTAGATTCATAACAGTATAGAACCAAAATACTAGCTCAGTAAAGTCTAATTTCCATAGACAGCACATTGGCATATTTTATTTTTATTTTTATTTTTTTACATTGGCATATTTTTATTCTAGTAGAATTTGTTCACAAATATTACATGGCAGTGATATTTAATGCTTAGATATTTTCTTATTTATATAGCTATTTGTTTTGACAATCTTGTGAAATCATTTGAAGAAATAGCACTGGAATTTAAGCGGCAATTCAAAATTTTAGAATATAAAAAATGGAATTTTAAAAATAAGTGAATGAATTAAGGAATGCTGACCTATACATACTTTAAGTGACATCTAGATTCTGAAACCTTCAATAGAAGGTTTCAATAAAAATCGTTGTTGCTTTCTAATTTCTCCTACCCTTGATATTTTCTTAGATACAGAAAAAAATTGGTTATTGATGTGGACTCAGGAAATATTAAACTCATGGTATATGTTAAGATGCTGTATTTGTATATGGTAACAAAAATTAATTGTTTTTTTTATCATGACTATCCACTTAGACATACACTTAATCATGGTTTTATATAACAGAGTACTTAGCTATCAAAGGAAAAATTATGGAAACAAAATGCCGGCATCCTATATAACAGATTTTTAGCTATTTTCATTTCAAGAAAAAGTTTAGAAAAGAGTTAGTTACTAACATGATTAGTTTATATGTCACTTGGCTGCATCACAGTGCCCAGATATATTTGGTCAAACATTATTCTGGATGTTTTTATGGAGGTGTTTTTTTTTTTTATGAGATTAACATTTAAATTGGACTTTGAGTAAAGCATTACCTCCTCTGTAATGTGGGTGAACCCCATCCAATCAATTGAAGACCTTACTGGAACAAAGACTGACTTCTCCCTAGCAAGAAGGAATTCTGCCAGCTGATTGCCCTTGGACTTGAACTGCAGCTCTTCCCTGGGTCTTCAGTCTGCCAGGCTTCCCTGCAGATTTTGGATTTACCAAGCCTCCTCAATCCTGTGAACCAGTTCCTTAATACAAATATCTCTCTTAATATATACATATGCCGTTGGTTGTTTCTCTGGAGAACGTTGACTAATACAGACATACAGCTTGTTTTAAAGTATAATATTGAAAGAGAGAAAGAAAGATATTTACGTCTTAACTTATATTTGCTTCCAACTTCTTTCACTAAGATGAATGACACCCCAAGTGAGACCAGTAAACAAATAGTGATTAGGGTGATAGAAATGCAAGGCGAAGGCAATTCGATTACTAAAACAATACTCAGTTGCTCTAAATAAGTTCAGGACTACTCATTGTATTAATTTCAACTTAATGGGAAATTTATTGATCTTTTGAATTGAGACATTACAAGTCTGCATAGGTGATATGAAGCTGGTGGGGGCAGTGAACATTCTAAACAATAATACCAACATCTGGAAAGATCTTGAGAGACTGGAGCTATATTAGATTAAACATAAAAAGGGTAAACATAAGGTCTTTGTATCTAAAAGTATCAACACTTCCAGAACAGGATGGGGTGGAAAAAGGTTGAGTAGCATAAAACACACATTATCAGCATAATATGGAGAGTTTGAGGAGTAAGGGTCTGAATCTATCTGTTGGAAGTCTTATGCCAATTTCTGGGTAAATACTTTATATTCCCTTCTAAAAAGAATTACCAAAGTGAGAAAGGGATGCAAAGTGTGTTTTAACAGGAGTAATGAAAAGAACTGGAGCTATGAAGTCTTGGTAAGATTTAGAGAAACCTTTTTTAAATATTTGAAGATCCTTGTATTTGGAAGCGATGTTCTGTAGAACCTCAAGGGGATGGGATTAATAGGGTAGAACTATAAAAAGACAGATTTCAACTCCGTGGAAAGCAGGACTTTCTAATAGAATGATTAAAGATAAAATGGACGTGTACCTCTGAAACAAATAATACATTATATGTTTAAAAACAAAAAAGAAGAAGATAGCAGGAAGGGAAGAATGAAGGGGGGAAATCGGAGGGGGAGATGGACCATGAGAGACGGTGGACTCTGAGAAACACACTGAGTGTTGCTGGAGTGGTGGGGGGTGGGAGGGATGGGGTGGCTGGGTGATAGACATTGGGGAGGGTATATGCTATGGTGAGCGCTGTGAATTGTGCAAGACTGTTGAATTACAGATCTGTACCTCTGAAACAGATAATGCAATAAATATTAAGAAAAAAAAAAAGAAGAAGAAGATAGCAGTAGGGGAAGAATGAAGGGGAGTAAGTAGGAGGGGGAGACGAACCATGAGAGAGGATGGACTCTGATAATCAAACTGAGGGTTCTAGAAGGGAGGGGGGTGGGGGGATGGGTTAGCCTGGTGATGGGTATTAAAGAGGGCACATTCTGCGTGGAGCACTGGGTGTTATACGCAAACAATGAATCATGGAACACTACATCAAAAACTAATGATGTAATGTATGGTGATTAACATAACATAATAATAATAAAAAAAGATAAAATGGGCTTCCTGCTTCACTAGTTGTGTTGAAATCTGTAGTAAATGACGTTTTGGAGAGACGTATATAACTTTGACTGGACAGTTGACCTAGATGATATAATAAGAGCTAGCATTTATGAGTATGTACTGTGCCCTTTTTCATTTAATGCTCACAACTCAATGATAGACTTTACTATTTCCCCTAATTATATAGGTGGGGAAGTGGCAGTCCAGAGTCTGTGTAACTTGCCCAAAGCCATATATAACGGACCACCTGCAGAATGGAGATTTGAATCCTAGTAGTCTAACTCCAGCGTCCATATGTTTAATCAATATAGTATCTATAGTCAGCAAGCTTTGTCTATAGATGTCATAGTAAATATTTTGGGCTTTTCAGGTCATATGGTCTCTAGGCAAAGGGCCACAGTTTGTTGGCTGCCATTCTGTAAGTTACAAAGTCCTTTCAAATGCTGAAATTCAGTGATTCTAAGATAATATATGTGGGACGTTGTATTTTCCAAGACTGGACACCATAATATCTCCCATTGCACGTACTCCTCCTACAGTGTAACCTTGGTACCTGTCTTGTATTGGTTTGATATGATTTCAGATCCACTGTTTATGACTTAAGTGAAGTTGTTTTTTTGCTTCTGTACTATGGACATCACCAAACACTTCTTTATTTTGTTCAATCTTCCAATAACAATGTCCATTTCAGAAGGAGAATGCATATCCCAATGCACTAGAGAGATGTGTTTAGGTGACAGTGTGACAACATGGTTCTTTAGGAAAGAGCAGCTGTTGTGGCATTTATCAAATTCTTCATCTGTTCTGAAGGATGTGGCTTACATTTTTAAAAGACATTTCCTGGTAGTATCATGTGATGATTTCTTAAAAACAAACCAAAGCTATGGCATTGTCATGCCTAAGTATCTAATTCTTGGAGAAATGTTTTAAATTCACAAATACTGTGTCTTCTTTTGACAACATAAATATTTTAAAGCAATGTTACTTTTCTCAGGAATGAGCACAGAGTATTTTTTTCATAATGTAGTTCAAATTGACTGAACAATTGAATCCTTGCTCCATTTTTTAAAATCACTTTTCAATATCAGCTACAAACTGGAATTTAGACATCGAGAACATTAAATTAAATAGAATCATACAATTATACCAGTCATATGAAATATGAAATTAGTTTCAGTAAGAAATTGATTGTCAGAGGATAGTAAGGGAATATTATTATCAGGTATAAGACGAAACATAATATACTATATGGAAACGGTGATATAAATTCTCAAAAAAACTTGTATGGGTTTATTTACTTCAAAACCTGCTATCGCTCTGACATTATTTCCTATTCTTCTTTCCGTCCCTCTCTCTGCTCAAGCCGTTTGGCTTCCTTTCTGTTCCCCCAATATGCCAGATACCCGCCCACCTTAGGGCCTTTGTACTGGCTGTTCCCTCTGTTTGAAATTGTCTTCTAGATCTCCACATGGCTAAATCCTTCATCTCTTTCAAATCTTAGCTCCAAATCCTTTTGCCCCAAACACCCTCTCATCCTGCGCTCCGAGTCATCAATCCCTCCTCCTTCTGTCCTCACAGCCCTTCTCATTCCAGGAGATACCTCATGGACTTAATATGTTATTACTTATCTGCCTTTCTCTCCAACAAAGACAAAAGTCTTTCTGTCTTTTATTGAGTGATGTATCCTAAGCACATAGGACAATGCTTGACACAGAGTTGGTGCTCAATAAGTATTTATCGAATACTTAAATGAATTATTGGTTTATTGATATAAAGTGAGGTTAATTCCAGACAACTGAGTTACTTAATGATAACCCACTATTTAGCCGCCATTAAAAATAAAAGCTGTGATCTCTAGTATATACAAATACAGAGTTCAAGGCAATAAGCTATCCTGAATTTATTTTCATTCATATCTGGATTATTATGAAATAAAGAAATGGCTAATGTTAAAAATACAACACATTATGTATAAATAAGTAATTACATTTCTGGGACTGGAAAATAACTTTCTAATTGTATGGTATGTCTTGGGTGGACTAAGTTTGAAAAACTTCTTAAGATTAGATAATCAAGCACTTAACCATATATCTAGAAATTAAGATATTGTTAACCTAAAAAGCTTTGGTGCGTAGATAGTGAAAAGGGCCATGTCTGTCATCAAGTTATTCTTACGGGTTAGATGGAATAAAAATTGTGCCTTTGGTTTGACTTGATCTAAGGGAGATACACCCATACACACCATTGCTTTGCTTTATTTTTTAGAAACTTGGGTGCTGGGTTTGTTCTTTGAAATCAGGAGAAAAAAGAACAACTTATTT